GACAACATCGTTGCCTCCAAGCTCTACCGCCCTGGTTCCGTCTCATACGTCTCCAAGTCCGGAGGTATGTCCAACGAGCTGAACAACATCATCGCAAACACTACCGATGGTGTGCTCGAGGGTGTTGCCATTGGTGGTGACAGGTACCCCGGTACCACCTTCATCGACCACGTTCTCCGATACCAGGCCGACCCCGACTGCAAGATCATTGTCCTGCTCGGTGAGGTTGGTGGTGTTGAGGAATACCGCGTCATTGAGGCTGTCAAGTCTGGCCAGGTCAACAAGCCCATTGTTGCGTGGGCCATCGGTACCGTTGCTGGCATGCTCAAGACCGAGGTCCAGTTCGGTCACGCTGGTTCTTTCGCCAACTCTCAGCTCGAGACTGCGGCCACCAAGAACAAGACCATGAGGGAAGCTGGCATCTACGTCCCAGAGACCTTCGAGGAGATGCCCGGCACTCTTGCCCAGGTCTACCAGAAGCTCGTCAAGGACGGCACCATCAAGCCCAAGCCTGAGCCCGTTGTACCCAAGATCCCCATCGACTACTCATGGGCGCAGGAGCTTGGTCTCATCCGAAAGCCCGCTGCTTTCATTTCCACCATCTCTGACGACCGTGGTCAAGAGCTTTTGTACGCTGGTATGCCCATCTCTGATGTCTTCAGGGAGGAGATCGGTATCGGTGGTGTCATGTCACTGCTGTGGTTCCGTCGCCGCCTGCCCAACTACGCCAGCCGTTTCCTCGAGATGGTTCTCATGTTGACTGCCGATCACGGTCCAGCTGTGTCTGGTGCCATGAACACCATCATCACTACCCGTGCCGGCAAGGACCTCATCAGTGCCTTGGTCTCTGGTCTCTTGACCATTGGATCGCGCTTCGGTGGTGCGCTCGACGGCGCTGCTGAGGAGTTCAGCAAGGCCTTTGACAAGGGCCTCAGCCCTCGTGACTTCGTTGACACAATGAGGAAGGAGAACAAGCTCAGTAAGTCGCCTAAGCTGAAAGCCATGTTTTTACAGCAGCTAACGTCTATCAGTTCCTGGTATTGGTCACAGGATCAAGTCGCGTAACAACCCCGATCTTCGTGTCGAGCTCGTCAAGGAGTACGTCAAGAAGAACTTCCCCAGCACCAAGCTGCTCGACTACGCGCTTGCCGTCGAGTCGGTGACCACATCGAAGAAGGACAACCTGATTCTCAACGTTGACGGCTGCATCGCTGTCTGCTTCGTTGACCTTGTTCGCAACGGTGGTGCTTTCACCCAAGAGGAGGCTGAGGACTACCTGAAGATGGGTGTCCTTAACGGTCTCTTCGTCCTTGGCCGAAGTATCGGTCTCATTGCCCATTTCCTTGACCAGAAGAGGCTGCGCACTGGTCTTTACAGACATCCCTGGGACGACATCACCTACCTCCTGCCCTCGCTGCAGGCTGGTGGTGCGCCAGGTGCTGAGGGCCGTGTTGAAGTTACGTTGTAGAGTCATGGTTTGGAAAAGGCAAGGGTATATCCGGTTCTAGTCGCTTGATGGCGGACCCAAACTGGCGTTTTGAGCGTGGTAGACGAAGGTCTTCCGCAGCATCGTAGGGCCATTGTAGCAATACCCGCCCGCTGTTGGCGGACATATATTATTTAATGTCAAACGAACAAGCAATGCGAGTTCCATGTGCCACGTGCCGTGTCTTGATACGGATGGGTCGGCAGCACTTTTTCAGCCCTGTGGGCGGCCTAACGTAGTGCTCTGATCCATCTTTAGCCACCCTACATTCCGCTCGAAGAAGCAAACCTTTCGTCTGTTCGCCGCAATAATTCTCACCAACATAGATCTTGAAACGGCAACATCTGGAAGATGAAGTCGCCCACGATAGAAGGAAAATTATCCATCCGGTTGAATCAAGGCTTAGATGCAAGTAAGGCAGATTCATGTTCTGTACCGCTGACCCACAAAAACATGGTGTGGCAGTATCGTATGTTTCCTCATTGTACCTGATGTGCCGAGTCCCGCTCACCGGTATCCCGGTCACGACCACGAGAAGCGTTAGTGAATGTCTTAGGCTAACTGGACGTAGGATAGCGGCCAACACACTCGTGCGAGAGAATCATTCTTCATAGGATCTGGGCTCCCGCTGTCAGCACCCAGCCACCCCGTTGATTTTTGCAGGATTCGATGCGCCCCAAAGCCATACCTATAGTCTTGGCATCCACCATGGTCTCGTTGAATACGGCTAAAACGGATGCTGTGTAACCAAGGAACCGCAAAGTTTTGGTTCATGCATCGATGATGCCTTTGCACGGATGTCTATCCGTCTGCAATATTTGGCTCGAGGCAGTCATGAACATGTCATAGTTGTTCAGCAAGGCTGCAGCTTCAGTCACGCCGCGGCCCTACATGCGGCGCGTACAGAGTTGTGAGTTCTTCCGCGTCGCTTACATTAGGCGTTCAGCCGCTATCGTTATTGGGGGCCACGGACTGTTCGCTTCTTTGTGCTGGCGGGTAAGGTGCCTGGCTGCCTTGAAAATAAGCATGGGTATCTAGTTCTGCATGCGAGCTGCCGCAGGGAATAAGTAGAGATGTGATCCCGGGGTTCAGTTGGTGTTCAGCCTTGTCGCTGGTATTATCGTCACCAGCAAGCACCATCGTCATCGTTTTGGTGTTGAGGTACCACACCAACATACTCTCGCAATGTTCACACGCACCATCGTCGCCGCAATGGCTTCGGCCTCGCTGGCTGGCGCCCAGAGTTCAGACTCGGAACATACACTTGCTGCTTTCGCTTTCGTTCGCACGGGAGAACGGACACCCATCTTGCGCAATAATACCCAGACTCTTACCAGCTTCGGCGCGAATCAGATGCATGCGCTCGGTCAAAAGTTCAGATCAAAGTTCATTTCCGGTCCTGAGTCCATTGCGGGACTATCAGAGGATGTCCTGAACAACGACCAGATTTGGGTTCAGACTCTCGATGCGCCATACCTGGTTTCGTCGGCGCAAGCCTTCATGCAAGGTCTTTACCCACCACATGACATCAGCAACGCAACTGGTGATAACACGGGTGTCCTCGCTGACGGCACTTCGGTCGACTACCCACTCAACGGATATCAGTACGCTAGCATTCATGCTGCGAATGTGTACGACCCAGTTTCGAGACTTGTATCTGGAGCTGGACAATGTCCACAAGGACAAACCGACGCACTGAAATACTTCACGACTCAAGAATACCGGGATGCCGAGTATTTGGCAGACAACAGTGAACTGTACAAGAACCTCCCTCTGGATTGGTTCGAAGGCCACGTCAATCAAGATGAACTGTAAGTACGATTGGAGACGGAATACGTCTTGGACTTTCGCCTTCTATTTTATGGTCTTCTCCTACCCCTGCCCTACCTTCTCTGATGCAGAGCTGATTCAGTACTGTCATGTGATTCAAATACTGACATTGACACAGGTCATACATGTATGCACTTGAACTGGAAGACTACTTATCATACCAATACATGCACAACGCTAGTATCTACAAGACCCTAGCAAACAATGAGTCCGGCTTATACGATACGCTCCGATCCCGCGCCGACGAAGTAGCCTGGTATCTCTACGGCAACACCTCAGCCTCCGACACCAGCAACCGAGCCATCGGCGGCAAAACGCTCGCCGGCTCGATCCAAAACACCTTCGACATGCTCGTATCTGGCAAGAACAACAGCGCCGGCGATCTCAGCAGCGCAGGCCAGATCAGCACGCCCAGCCCACTCACCTTCTTCTTCGGCGAACAAGACGCCATGATGAGCCTCATGTCCTTAATGATGCTCGACACACAGTCCGCCGAATTCAAATCCATCCCACCCTACGGCTCCGCCATGATATTCGAACTCTTCAGCACCAGCTCCAACACAGCCATGCCCAGCGACCCCGACGACCTCTGGGTACGCTTCTACTTCCACAACGGCACAGACGCAGACGACAAGCCACTGCAATCCTACTCCATGTTCAACAACGGGCGTTCCAAGACAGACATGCGATACACAGAGTTCGAAAGACTCTTCAGCACCATCTCCATGCAGGGCCTAAGCGACTGGTGCGAAACCTGCAGCACAGGAGCTTTCTTTTGCCGCGGCGCAGACGGAAGCGGCGTCACGCTCGTCGTCCCCGCTGCCCACGAAAGACCAAGGAAAGACGGCGTCTCCCCCGTCGTCGGCGGCGTAATCGGCGCAGTCATTTCCCTCGTCGTAGCAGGCCTCCTCTTCGCCCTCGCTATGCTACTCACCGGACTCCGCTTCCACCGCGTCGAGCACCGTCTTGGTGGCAACCTTCGACAGAAATCGGATCTTGGTGGCTTCAAGGGCTCGGCGAAGTTGGCGTCGGATCCGGATGTTAGTCTTGCCGGGAATGGGGTGCCGCCTGCGACGAATAACGCGGGGATTATTAGTTTTGGCGGTGATGGTAAGAGCGGGCATGAGAGGGTGGGCAGTTGGGAACTTAGGCAGAAGGAGTTTGGGAAGGAGGTTGGGGATGTGAGTCCGAGGAGTAGTTTTGGGGGGATTGATGGGGTTGCTGTTAGTGGGGTTGAGCCGCGGGATCAGGTGTGAGTCGCGACTGACTGAGGTGAGGTGGCGACTGAAAAGTATGTTTGGCTGGATTTGGATACCCTCTTTACGACACGAGTATGATGGCTATTTGAAAGAGGAGGAGGAAAGAGAGGGCCTTGTATGGGCTTTTGTTTCATACGATCTTGATACCCGGTTTTCCCATGCGTGGGAAACCATTGTAGGTTTATGTCTTTATGAACACGACACTCGCTTTACGAATTAGAGAATGTAAGCTTTCTCGATTCATCATATCATCTCACTTGCATCCTCACTCGTAGTCTGCTACCTAGGTATGCTCTCTGTTTTTCTATCCCCCACTTATCCATATACCTAGGTCTATCCATACTTCCTACAGACTTCAATCTCACCCAGCATGCCTCTACACATCCTCTCCAACCAACTATCTCACCATCAGTCAGTCAAATATAGAATGCGTAGTCCAATGGTTAGGACGTCCATGTCATATGAACTTCGTCACAATCCGTTGGGGCTTCGGCACCGCGGTGGAAGACAACCGATAAGTTATTTTGGTGTGAGTGAGTGGAAGATGCTAGTTCGAGTCTAGCCGTGTTCAAGATATCTTTTTTTGCTGTTGCTATAGCCAGATATGTGTTGGGAAAGGTTGGGAAAGCATAGATCAATCGTGAGGTAAGTTGGGTGAGCAGGGGTTGTTCTGCTATCACAGTTCTAGGATAATCTTTTCTTTTGAAGTACCAACTTAAACATTGCCGCTCACGTACTGTCCGCTCTTCTCTTACTGTACATACTTGACTATTTCCATTCACTCCTGATGTGCATCCCAATCGATTTCGTAAGGAACAAGTTCGTCATCCGAGCAACAAGGGCCTCCAGCTGGACATGTCAAAATTCTTCGTTGTCTGACTCTACCAAATCCTGGGCAAGAGAGACTGTTACTTGAGCAGACATACGTATGTTGAAATGAGAATGACAACACAGAACACAGTAGGATAATTTGACATGAAAAAGCTTATATAATCTCATTGAAGGCATATACAGATATGAGTGACCACACAATTCAGCCGCATGCTGTACCGCTAAACTCCTTACGAACGCCATATCGTGGCAAAATCCACACAAGCAAGCCTGTGCCAAAGCACATTCGTATTTTCCGCCCATGAACATCAGGAACCACCGTATTATCCACAAAGAAACGAAGACACGAGCTCATCTCTTCCTCATCTCAGCAGCTGCCCTGCGATTCCAACGGCCACTCCCGCTGTCATGAGGTAGTCGGCACACCGCGCTCTCTTCGCCGCATTCCCTTGGCCATCAAAAGCCGCACAAGCCTCGACGGTAAGCTGCGAGCAGCCCAGACTGCTGAGACTGGAGCAGATGCTCTGAGCGGACTGGAGGCCGACACTGGGAATGGCGGTAATGGTAGCGCCGCCGCCGTTGGGGGCCGAGATGGTGACGCCAGCCGCGCCGTTGGCTAGAGCAGTCGTACAACTTGCAGCATCGCTTTGACAGCTTGTATAAGCGGACGAGCAGGCAGCTGCGTTGGTGTAAGTCGTCGGTATGTACGGGAAAGGGTAGAATTGGTTCTGTACCGTGCTTCCGTGGTTTGCGCCATTTGTTTCCTGCACGAAGGGCTGCTCCCCGGTTGTGGATGCGATTACGAAGGAGACGGTCGAGGTGGCCGAGGGGTTCGCGCCGGTGGGGACTGCGCCGATGGCTCCTGTGCAGGCGACGCCTTGGGGACAGCATGCTACGTGGCCGGCCTGGTCGGCTGAGCAGACGGCTGTTCGTGGGCAGCAGAGTCCTGGCGCGCCAAGGCCGGCGCAGTTGAAGTAGGAGGTCGCGCATGCATTGCCTTGCCGCTTGAGCAGTTCGAGGTTGCCGTCGGCGGGAGATGTCTCCATGGCCTCGTATACGGGGGTCGGTAATGGCGCAACGGCGGCCTCGAAGTCGCCGTAGACATCGGGTGCGGCGAGCGCGGCGAGCGGCGCAAGCAGTAGCGGGGCGAAGAATGTGCGCATTGTGAGATTATAGATGTTGGTCGTTCGTGAGGCAAGGTGTGCGGCTTGCGCCGGGGAGTGGTGATGTCGTACGGGGCCGGCTTGTTGTTGGGACGGCTACGGCTATCGATGTAGTAGTGGCTGGGCGCTGTTTGCATGAGCGTGGGACCGATGTGTGCCAATTAGTAACTCACAATTGGAAGCGCAGTGCAGTCGACGGTCGCAGTACGGGCTGGCAGGTGTCGAGATGTCGTGGGCATCAAAGTCGGTGCGGCTGTGTGGTATGCGCCAAGCAAGGTGCGTTGTAACGGCAACGCGGTCCAAGCATCCAATCGGACTATAGTACGTCATGCACATGGCACGTTCTCGTCCACGCCCGCGATACGGGACGGCGGGCCCTGATGATCTCTTCCTTTTACTTTGGCCCTGCTTTTCTGCTTACACCGCTTACCGCACTTTGCCTGCGTCTTTGGTACACGATCCTACCCATGCTTCAGTTCCGACGCTGTGAGGTAAAGACGCAATCACGTGAAACACTCATCTAGCCATCAGTGGGAAAGTGCCTCAGCACTATTCTTCATCGAAGTTCTTAGGGTAAGGCGTCCGTTGCGCTACGCTTTGTTGTGGTGAAAGACATTGTGGCTGTGCCCGAATAGTTCAAGATGAGTCGAAGTGAGCGGCGCTGCGCTAGGTAAATCATATGCGAACGCGCAATGTAAATAAAGACCTGTCACCAGACTATGTAGTCAAACTTTTCATTGTATGTCAATATCACAAACGACTATCGCTTCCCTTTCGAGATCGTGTTACTCCATCGAACCCAAACTCTCAACCACAGTGCGAAGATGCCCGCCATACGTCTGACTCTCGCATCAAATGCAAACCAATCAACGAAATGCCCAATCCTTATACCCGCTTCCGCATCCACTGACCCCACGGCTTCGTCTTCTGTGCGAGCGCTTGTCTTCAAGAGTGCGCAGACAAAACTGCGTGTAAAGAAACCCACTCGTGTCTTTGTCGGACGCAGCGGGCAAGAGCTTGTATCTGAAGCAGATTGGAAGAGCAACATTAATAACGATGTCGTATTGCTCGTCTCAGCGGGAGAAGACTATGTTGGTGCGAGGAAAGTATCAGGGGTGCATGGTAAGTAGCACTGACGTTTGAGCAAGTTTGCGCTCAATATCTGTGCTTATCCCCTTCCGTATTACGATCAATTACTAACACAATATAATAGCCGACGCAAACCCACAATGCCCAGTTAAAGTATTAGCATCTAAAGCAACCCTCGTTGAACCGCTGGCTTTAACTCAGCTGGAAACCACCGCGCGCACGCTTCCGGGCATCATACACGCCGTTGGTCAACCCGATCTCCACCCAGGCACCAAGTTTCCCATCGGCGCAGTCTTTGCTTCCAAGGGATGGATCCATCCTCCTCTAATTGGTGGCGATATCGGATGTGGTATGGCCTGGTACAAAACAACACTCAACAGAAGCCAGGTTGATGGGAACAAAGGCAAGAATGTCGCTAATCAGCTTCGAGGACTAGAGGGTGCCTGGCGCAACCAAGCCTATCGAGAGAAATGGCTCTTGGACGAAGACAACTGTAGCATTTCCGCCGGTAAACAGTGGGACGCTGCTCTGGGCACCATAGGAGCTGGGAATCATTTTGCCGAGATCCAGGTCGTCGAGGAATCGGGATTTGCCAAGTCGGACGATGGACTCCATCAAGATGATGTCGTCCTGCTAGTCCACTCGGGATCACGAGGACTAGGAGGTAGCATTCTCAAGAAGTACACAACCGACTCACGCACAAGCTTTCCGGACGATAGCGAGGACGCCAATGCATACCTGGAGGAGCACAACAAGGCCTGCGAGTGGGCGAAGGCGAACCGGGATCTGATTGCTCTGCGATTCCTTGCATGTCTTGAGCCTGGCAATGAAGACTGGCAGCTGGGCGACTCGGATGCCAGCGACTTCGGCGAAGAGGGCATAACGATGATCGCGACAGCCAAAGCGGCACTGAGGAAGCGCAAGGTAGTTGACATATGGCACAACAACGTCGAATGTGTGGCCTGGCCTCCACCTGCCCCTTCTTCAGCTGCGGAGGAACCTACGCCTGAACGCAGTCTGACCGAGGCGCTGGACCAAATAGCACTTGGCGATGAAAACACTCCAAAAGAAAACGTCTTTCTCCATAGAAAAGGCGCAGCCCCGACATACGACCCCAAAACTCAGTTGCCGCTCGGTCTCCTTCCACTGCCCGGTTCCCGGAGCACCGCCACGCTCATCCTCCAGCCAACATTCTCGGAAGCCAACTCATGGGGGCTTAAAAACGGACTTTCGCTGGCCCATGGCGCAGGACGAGCCATGTCTCGGGCAAAGGCCCTCCAGACCTTGGGTAAGAAGTACAAAGGCATCAACCTCTTGGAGCCGAATGCAGAAGATCCGGAAGGCACGTGGGTCATATGTGACGAGAAGGACCTTGTCTTTGAAGAAGCTCCATGGGCATACAAAACCGTTCAGGATGTCGCGGCGGATCTGGGAGCTGCCGGTGCAGCGAAAATAATCGGTTGGTGCTGTCCTAGAGTCAGCTACAAGGTTCGGAAAGAATTGGATCTACTGAGGTAGCCCCATCCTCGATGCGCTAAATTTACGTGGAACAGATCGTTCTCCACCGGGCATGCCGCGATCCGTATGGATGCCGGTATTTGAGTAAGAAGGGTACCCAAGCGTCCTGCGCAATATGCGAAAGGGTAATGATGAGTATGTAATTTCGATGTTTCCATATCACTCTGCATCAGATAGATGCAGCAACCCTGTCTATTCCCACTTCAACCGCTTCTCGTCAATTTCCTCTGCTTCCCACGCCTCCTCCTTCTACATCATCTCATCTCATCTCGATCTCGAGTCACACCCGTCTTTGCCGTGCCGTGCAACCTTGTCCACCGCCTCTCTGCCTCAGTAAAACACAGGAAATCGCATCTGATACACCCGCGCCAGGAACGCATGTTTGGTCTATTTGCGTCGATAAGCGCGACAACGAGAGTTTTGTGTGGAATGTTTGTTCCCTTAGGGACTCGGCTAGTGGAAAGGGTGCAACACGCAAGCGCCATGCCACTGTATGGGGTAAATTTGGATCTGTACCAAGACTGTTAGATCCGACTAGCGCTGCAGTAGTCAAAGCTTGGTATGTTGGCGGCAGAAAGGACATCTGCGACAGCCTGACCCTCTCTTCCTCAGAGTATCTGCATCAGCAAGCGACGACACGACAAAAACACTGCAACTCTTCAAAGCCTCCAGCCTACGTGGCAGCATGACTCTTACCTACTTCCCAGCCCCAAGATGTAGCCCCCATTGGCGCATACAGAAAACTGAGCTGGCTGGGGCCAAGTCTGACAAACTCCACACCAGGCTCAGCCCTGGCCTCAGGAACAAGGCCCGCCCCCGCAATGATTGGCCGGCAAAGCGCCCATGCGTCTTGGTGTTTCGAAACGGCGAAGCGGGCGCGCATCCTTTAGCGCAAAAACGGCAAACAACACCTGGTTTCATGCAATAACGAAGGCAGTCTTTGTTCGCGGCGGCCAATCAGCCGGAGCGA